CCAGTGAAAACAGCCAGAATTTGTGTGTTCCCAGTTGATTGCGAGAAGTATTCGCACGCAACATGTGGCTATCTCAAAATAGGGGACCCAGAAAATGTTGTTTGATTTGCGCTCCCCGAAATGAGAACCCTCAAAAAATACACCAATGTCCAACTGAAAGGCCACTGAACAGGCCCTTTGAGGCGCTTGCAAGGCTGCCAACCTGCAATTGAGTGCTCAATCCTCCCCGGTCGCACTGCTCCCCGTGCCTGCGATACATTGCTGATGGCATCATCAAAGCCAAAGTTCATGGACATGGCTCTCACATTCCGGCAACTTGGACGCTCAGAAAGGACCCAACATGTCCTTGGGAAAAAGCAACGCATGCTGTATGTTTGGTGGGAATTTCGCACAAGTAGCCTGACAGCCGCGGCAGCCGCAAAATATCTTAGTAGTCCTTACTTTGAGGGGCAAGAGTTGTGCAACACAAGTGTCTAACCAATTAGAATGGTTTGTTGGCATATTTTAAAACTAAAATTTAGTCATGATTATGGGGGTAAGCTAGTGATCAGTTGGCCCCTGATAGTAATCTCTGGCAAGAGGGGAACTCTCAACGCAGCAGCACTTTCTGTGCTTGGCCCTGGCAATGGTCGGGGTCCCATGGCGAAGGGACTTCAAGCGTTTGGACTGAGCTCCGACGTTGACAAGTGGGCGTGTCCGATTTTCTCAGTGACCCGAAAATGAATAATCGAACTTGGTTGCCAGTTGGTAACCAAAAACACCTCAAAGGACTCAATGCCATAGTTCAAACCCAGGGCTCCACTGGGTCGTGCAAGCTGAGCCAAAATCGAGTTGTCGAGTCGCGTGTGAGCGCGGCGAGCGGCCCCGAGTCGGCGAGGAACGGAATCAAATTTGGCCAAATTGCACTTTGCCCTGAAAGAAATGCCAAGGAACCTTCGGAGCAAACCAAAACCCCGAAGTCCATCGCTTTCATTTGGATCCAGAAAAAAAAAGAGAGAGTCGGGTTGCAACAGCTCGCGCTTGACCATTTGGAAGGAGTGGTCAAAACTGACAAAGAGTTCTGCGTCTGTTGTTGGCATGTGCCACTGCCCATGTCCATTGTTGTTTGTCAAACAAGACTCAGCAAAGTCGTACTCAAAACCTGCCATTAAAGGCTTAGGAGTTGACCCAAAACGCATGGTAAAAGGGGGTGTTGTGACCACCATCTTTCCTTGTTGTAAGGGATCGGAAGAAGGGGTTAGGTCGAAAAACAAACGCGGCTCCGTGGAAAAGAATACAAAGGGCAGGACAAGCGCTTCTTGTCTGTCACCCATTCCTGGCTGGCCCTCTGCAAAAATTGCCTTAACAATTTAAGCTGATGCCAAGTTACATACCTGAGTTGGGTCCTTGCAATGATTCCAAGCAGCAGCGCCCAGAAGAAACCCTGCTGTCTTTTTGGGCCCGCGCTATTCAGGCTTGTCATCCGGCATGAATTGGGCCAAAATCCCCGCTGTCTTGGTGGCTATTCGTCTAAACTTCGTGTAGAATCTTCCTGTAGCTGGTTTCTATGATTCCCGGCACCCCCAACTGCATGGGCACATAGACTCTCTTTTTGCAATACCCTTCAGGAGGAGGTTGCAAAATGGACCCTAAGAGTGTCTGTTTTCCAAAGGAAAGCGTTGCCATTTGGCCATGGGTCAAAATCCCGCACTCCCAGTGAACATCCCAATCCCCACTAAAAAAAACTAAAATGGGTGGTGCACCTACCCCAAAGTGGTACCATTTGTTTTGACCCACAGCCATTCCTTGGGGGTTTTCCCCTTTGAGCCCGTCCACCCAAAGTCCTGGCGGTTCTGCTCCCGGCGGGTCGCTTCCAATTCCCGGCGCAGCTGCTGCTGCCTCGGGGCCAACTGGGTCAAACCGGGGACGCCTGATACCACCTCCAGGCGCCGGAAAAAGCAGAAAAGCAAACCTCGCAGCTGGGAGGGGGTTGATGATATGCGTTTCCTTTGAGGTATGGAATGGGTCTCCCTCGCAATCAAAAGCGGGTCAATGTAGCCACTTTTTGCCAACAATCCAAAATGTGGACAAGAGGGCTTGGGAAGAGCAGCATCTGAACAAGGACCTCTATCCACTTCCCGACTCAGCGTGCATGAGCCACGGTCTTATGCTGTTCCCCTCATAGGAAAATGAGGTGTCCCTCCCAAATTCATTTCTGGATTTCTTGACCGAACCCCTGCGCCCTGTAAGTCCCTCAGTCAAAAAGACTTTGAGGCTTCGTTTCTCAAGATGTGATCCGGACCGATTCCTGTTTGGATGGGTTTAAAGGAAAACACGTTCGAAACCCCCCTTGCCATTCCAGGAATCGGACCGATTCCTATTTGGAGAAATCCCATTTGGCGGTTCCCCAAATCTTCCCATAGGGATTGTGGTTGCCAGTCGCCCTGAGCTGGCCATCCGCTGTCTCCGGATACATTCTTTTCAGGGAGGACTGGTGGCTCCAAAAAACGTGGAATGAAAACATGGACCAACATGAAGCCAACCGTTTTGTCGGGAGTCACGGGGTCTGACAATGCCCCCACGAACCTTTTTCTGACATCTCATCTCTATTGGTTCACTTCCAAGAGGACACCAAAGCGTAGGTTGCCCCGCCCCCTTCCCGACATTCCTTGGCGCCGCTGTTTTGCGTCCGCCGGAAAACGCCATGCTCTCACAGCTCTGCAGTGTTGGGGTCTTCCCCCGGGGGCGTCACATCAACCAGCTCGGTGTCGAACATCAAAGTGGAGTTCGCAGGGATTTTGCCTCAAGCCAAGAGGACTTTGAACCTAAAACTCCAGCCAAGAAACAGATTTGGGGGGTCCTTTTGGTTTTCTTTGAATACAAAAAGGGGTCCCCCATTTTGAAAAACACTCATCTTTGGCATTGCGGCTTGCATTGAAAACCCTCCCAGTCTTCGGGCGGGAGTTTGGCATACCTCCAAGAGATGGAGATGGATAATGATAAACTGTGAACTTTTGCAGAGCGCAAACTCCTTCATCCTGGTGGCAAGGGCTGCAAAATATGGCGCCATGTTGTCGGTGAGGCCACATATCTTCGAATCACATCAAAAAGACAAGCCTGAGGATCACGTCAGGACCACAGGCCAGGGCGTAATCTTCAACTTCACACACCAAAGAGTCCGAGCAAATAAGGTCGTTGTTTCATCATAGGCTCGGACAGCCCAGACGAGGCACACAGGCCATGGTCAAAACTCTTTGTACTTGCCACAGTCAAGGGTTCCTTTAAGAGCACGCACAATAGTCGTCTAAACTCCTTCAGAGTCCATGGCCATCCCTGCCAACCCCAAGCAAGCCAATCGACCTTTTGACCAGGACATAGGGACCAAATACCTTTCTTTTATGCCATTTTGTCCTTGGGATTCCCATAGTACAGAAAGTGGCCCCAGCATCCGATTTCCCACCACCATGCCCCTCCCCTGTCCCATTTGAAGCTTGTTCCTTTCGGTTTCCTTGCAACCAAACCAAAACCAAACCCAAAACGCCCCAGTCCGCTTTCCCATCTCTCTCCGCGCCGCCGACCGCCCGCTCCCCGTAGCCCAGGTCTGCGGGGATCCGCAAGCGCCGCCGGCCGCCCACGCGCATGCCCTCGATGCCCTCGTCCCACCTTTTGCCCGTCGGCCACAGGGATCTTCAAAGAAAGCAAAACACATCAAACTCAAGTACTTGTGCAAGAAGGCATCATCAGCGTGTTGAAGATTAGAACAGACAACAATCAGTCTGACATCTTCACCAAATACATCACAGCAGAAATTCTCAATAGGCACCTCTACAGGGTTGGTCTTCCTGGCCATCCCACAGCAAAACACTGAGCAGCAGCACCACGAACAGTCTCACCAGAATATCACCAGTGACAACTGGTGTGCACGGGCCCAGTATCACCAGTATTTGTGTAGCACATGTGTACATGCACAGTGTAACAACTGTAGCGACAGTAGTATCACTCACACGCACAGTTGTGTTTGCGTCGTTGACCATCGGCAATTGTCCTCGGTCACGAGCGCAACCCTTTTTTGTTTCTTTGGATCCACTAACGCAGAGCGGGGTCCATTACATCCACGTTCAGTGGCAGATGGGGATATGCCATCAACAATGTGGAAGCCAACGGGCCAACCTTTGCTCAGATGATCACAGAGCCAAGTGTCGGCCTTCGAGTGTGGATCTGCTGTTCGGAAGAAGAGTTCGGCTCTTTGGCTGGTGATGGGCAGCAGAAGCTGAGGGGCAACTTGCGCATGCCTCACTAGGGCCACCACATGGACCCAACATCGTCCATGCTCCAGCACCTGCTCCACATCACTGAGGGTCACATCAGCTCCAAGAACAACTCACGCATCTTCCTCGTGCAGATTGTCTTGAATGAAAAAGATTGGCTTAACGCCACATCAGTCGGATGCTTCAACACATTCAACCTGTCCTTCCACAACATCCAGGTCCAGCTGTTGGGAAATCACCTGTACCAGTGCTCCCAGCAGATCAATTTGCTGAATGTGTTTTCCCTTGCCCACAACACGGGGCACATTCAACTGGGGCACTGGCTATCTCTGGGAATTAGCGATATGGTTGCCCTCATGTCTCAGCTGGATCAAGGGGTGATCACAGAATAACACCCGGACCGACAGGGCCTTGGCACAGCGCAGCATGTTCAAAAGCGCTGTCAGCTACTCTGGGCTCGACTTTGCAGAGTTTGACGGTGAGCATACCCATGCCTTGATCAACTACATCAAGGAACAGCGTCTGAAGATCAACTGCGGCGGTGCTAAAGATGGCAATCCTCTTAGGAAATCTCCAAGCCCTGTCGAGTTTGTCCGCGGCAAGTCCAACCAGGACCATTTCAATATCTATGCTAGCGACATCAACACATGGCGGGTGTGCATTGGGCCTAGACTCAATGTGCACAGTGACATCGGTGATCCATTTTTTGTGGCTAGCCGACAGCAAGGTGCATTCAGAACAACAGCTGGCACAGTTTGAAACTGCTTTGTTCAGCATCGACAGTGAGGCTTGATACCTGAGGATCTCAATTCGGTACAGTTTGTGTACAGGCGCAGTTGATATCTTTGTGACGCAACAGAGACATCTGTTGAGTCAAGGAGGCGTGTTAAGATGAGCCATTCATCAACACAGTCTCATGTCAACTGCATCCTGTGGGCTCAACGTCAGGCCCTTGAGTGATAGGATCAACATGATCAACAGTGTGTAAAACAACAGCGACCTGCAGACAACGCCTTTGCTACTTTTACAAGAGGGAGAGAGAGAGAGAGAGAGAGAGAGAGAGAGAGAGAGAGAGAGAGAGAGAGAGAGAGGAGAGAGAGAGAGAGGGAGAGAGAGCTGACAACCAAAAGAGGCATTGCAAGTGGCATTGATTGATCTGCAGTGCCTGAGTCTTGGGCAGCCACTCCCGGATGGCACTTGAGTTGACGTTTTGACAGCGAATCATTCACGAAAACACAGCGGTTGAACCCAACGCGAAACAAATGCAAAACTAAACACAACAAACAACTGAAAGGAACACAACTGAAGGGGGCCGGGGCTTGCACCGCCTCTTATATATATATATTGACAAAACAGAACGAAAACAAACAGAAAGCACGACGCCATGTCCGTGGCGAGGCGCCCTTGGATCACCTTCCCCACTCCGAGCTCGAAGCTGATGGGCTTGCCGTGATACCTCGGTGTGCTTGAACCCTGTTCCCAGTTACAACCAGCGACCCAGGAGCAAACAGGGGAGCCCTTTTTTGGGGTGGATTCCATTTGCAGCAAGGAACAAACAAACAAAAGGAGAAAAAGTGCCACTGAACAACTTGCTGCTTAAACCACCAAACTGCTGCTTAAATCACGGAACTGTTTGAACAACTTCCTGCTTCTGACAAGTTTTGTCCAACGCTCAGCTGGTACTTAGAGCCTCTTCTTCCTGGCAAATAAGACGCCATGTTTGCGTCCATACAAAGAAAAGTGCTGCACGATCATGAAGCCTAGTGATCAATCCCGCGATACGCGCAACAACGACAGTAGAACCAAACAGCGTATAAAAGGGACTGGTTACTGCGCCGGAAGATTTACACGGACCCCCCCCCCCCCCGCCGCCTAAGAAAACCAAAAACTGGCTCACCTTTGGTTAGAGGGAAGCCCTTCTTCGGGTATGTTTGTAGCGGTACTTCCATTCCTTTTGGGCATCCTTCCTTTCAGATCACCAAACCCCAAAACCCGAGGATTATCAGGTTGTCGTTTCGCAAAGAACGGCGGATGAAAGGAATGAAGGATGAAACTTTAGAGTCAACTCTTGGCAGACAACGGGTACCTGGAAGATAACTCTCCTCTTTCGACCGTGTGTCAGGACCTCAGGAGTCAGGGAGGGTATAGGGGCTTAATCGTTGCACTCGCTATTCTCTGATGATCATGACCCAACATGTTTGCTTGAAGTATGCAACAATGGGTACTTACATTTAGGCCTTTAGTTTGACCGTTCCAATTTATTCACCCCCCAATGTATGCTTTTAGTCAGGCCCTTGTAGCCGTAGCCGAGATTCTTGGAAGAGTCGAAGACGAGCCTGAGTCCGTCGTGAGGCCATCGGAAGGCTTCTGACCCGAAACAGATTGGGTGCCCTGTTAAATAGGTTCTACCGTTTTTGAGGTTGGTTTAAAGGGAAACCAACAGGAAAGCAGCTTCTTCTTTCGTTTTTGTTGGGGAGTCCCCTGAAAATAGACACTCCCAAATGGGCTCCTGTCGGATGCTGCACACGAGATGGTTTGCTTGCGCAAGCTGGAAGCCACCTATTAGAACCCGTTTAGGTTCCTTTGTTTTGAGCTCCAAAAAAAGACATGCTAAATCATCTGGGAGGAGAACTTCTTTGGAACAGTTCTGGCGATGTTGCAGCACCAAACCCGACCAACCCAATCGAATTCACGCCCATCCAAATCGACGGGGTTGGGAACTCTGGGTTCCATTCTCCGAACACCTCTGAGACCCTTGCACGGCCAGGGTGCCCTGCCTGTTTTGCCATACCATCATAGCATCAGAGCCACCCGAAGTATGACATAGTTGGTGCCGCAAGTATCTGGCTACTGACTACGCTGATCCTTGTACAACATGAGGAGTGCAAACGAGGCTTGGAAGATGCCTTGCGCAAGATGCCTACCGCAACATCTGCAGAATCACATAGGTTGGGCAAACCTCGCTGTCGGAAAGTGCGCTTTACCTCGTCTGGGCACGTGTCAAGCTGAAGGCTTCCCTTTGGATTCCTTTAAAATGCCTGTTGGGTCTGGCCTGTAGCCAGCTCCCAAAAACACAAATGCAGGGAAATCCACCGACCCGTTCTGGCATCCCGCGAAATTTCAACTGGACAATCCCTAGCCACAATGTGCTTGCCACAGAATTCTCGGTCCATTCCCCTACCGAGGCCAATGATCTTTGACGGTTCTTTGGGGATTGCCAATAGAAGGTTTCCGCCCATGGGACCATTTTTTTCGACTCCCATCTCTCGTCCAGGTTGGGAGTTGTTGCAGCCCCAAAAAACAAACCAGCGCTTTAACAAGGAAGTCCTTGAAAAGGGATCCTGGTGCCGTGTGACTAGCTGAGATACAAGCTCCCCTGCTGAGTTCAAAAGCCAAGCCGCCCCTGGCCGCGCTCTTGCGCCTTTGCGCTAGAAAAACTCCACCTGCCCTTCCCCCCCCCCACCCCCCCGCCCCTCTCGCGTTGAGGCGTCGGCCCATTCACCAGGCGCCCAGTGTAGTTCACCTTCACCGTGCTGCCAGCGGTGGCTTCAGCGCCGGTGCCCAGAACCTGCCGAAGCACGAGGCTTCTATGGACCTGCGGGTTCATTGCCCTCTTTAACATGGAAGTGGATACAAAAGGGAAAAGGTTCGTCTCACAAAGCTCACCGACCATAGCGGAAGCCTGCAGGCGTACTGCCAAAAGACTACAAGGGAAGATTGCGGGAACGCTACAGCTTTCATCTCCCAAACCCGTGGCTCAGCTTCTGTTCTCGTTGGAGAGATCGAAATCCAGGATCAACTTTTGGACATCCTCACATGTGCCAATTAAAACTCTTACAGTCATGGTCATGATTCTCTGAGTAACAACCTTAAAAAGCCTTGGTCTACAATTGCAATTGAGTTCATAACCACCCCCTACCAGCCCCATAAAAACTGTGCTTTGACTATGGCACAGCATGATTCCCATAAGAGGAGTCCTATCAATCATGAGTTGTCTAAGCGGTTGATTACCATCCCTGCCCACCCCAAGTAAAAGGGACTTTTGACCGTGGAACACAAATAAATTTGCCCTGCCTCCTCCTGGTACTGAAGCCCTGAATCCTGGGAGATCCAATCATGGACCTGCGCGCGCTTCTGCTTGAAGCCTGAAGCGCTTCTCGCGGACCACCTTGCCTGAATGAGAACCCAGGATTTACTCAGATGCATTTGCCTGGAAAGGAATCCTCGCATTTTACAGAGACCCCCTTCATAGTTTGAGTGGTTCTCAATGAGGGGTGGACATTGCCCCCACTGGGTGCTTTAGTTCGGGGATTTGAACCACTCTGTTCTGTTGAAACGAAATGAGCAAGCAGCCGCCCTCTAGTCCCAAATCACCAAGTGGGGGAAGCAAACTTTGCGCGCTAAAGACATGCCGAAGCAAACGATTGGACGAAATCCCCACAAGAAACCCAGAATATCGAAGGGTCCCCAGCACTCCGTTCAAACCCTTGGGGCTCCAGTGCTCTTCCATGTTTGTTGGTGGAAGGATAGACCGTACAACTCACGGTGAATAGTTACTGTGTGCCCAACTCACAGGGAAATATAAGCAACTCCATTTCCATCTAGCAACGTGGTAAGTGCACCCTTTCAGTGGCCATAGGTCTAAGCCACTGACAATGCGATGGGTAGACATGGAGGCAAAAACAAAATTCCCCACACAAACCAAAGGGGCAACCCAATGGTTGCTAGCCTCACGTCAACTGATCGGGGGTTCGTATCCCTGCTCCAAAGTGACGCAGGGGGCAACTGAAATTTTCTCCACAAACAGTACATGAAGCTTGGCCGACAAAACAAGCGATAGGCTGGCTGAGGCGCTGGTATCTCCAAAGAGGAACGCGGAGGCGGACTTCCGCGCGGAATGCCCCCGGGGTGCCGCCAGCAACTCCAGCCCCTCCGCATGCCGAGGTTGCTTTTGAGGGGCCGCAGGCTGCGCCTCACACGTCGGGTTTGTTGGGAGGGTGGTTTTGGCCACCTGTTCCAAGCTGACGTTCGAGACTTGATGTGGTGTTCCTTTGTCTCCCCTCTAAAACCACCGCAAAACGTGCCTCACTTCTTAGGAGACGGTTGGGTTCCATACCGCGATGAGCAATTCGCAATCTTTCTAGGGTTGCACCATAGATTTGTCCGACAAGGAAGTCCGAAAGGGTCGCATGCGCCATCAACACGATGAACACGTGGTGATTTGTCTGTCAAGTGACGACACTTTGCTTGGCAAAATGCGCGGCTTACATATCAATCAACATGCTTCCTGATGAGTTGTTGAGGTTGTCTGTGTGTGTGTGTGCGCGTGCAGGCAGAGAGGGTGAAATGACCTTATACCAAGCAACAACCAAGCACGAATTAGAGAAGCTTAAGAAGCATAATGCCATCTCAAAACGATTCCGCGAGCTGACACACACGTAGGCTATGATCAGACAGACCACACGTCACGGGAATAGCCAGCGTCAAATATGTTGTTATCTTTCCTTGAGATCCGTATTCTAATGTCAAGCCCCTTCTTGCTGGGAACTTCATTTGACCGCCCCTTTGCGGACTTCGACACCAAGAACTGCGCTCCGGGCCGGGAATTGGCACCATCCTTCCAGACTAAAAGAAAATCAGCCCAACCTGAAACAAAGCAGTGGAATCTGTGTTCGAGCAAACGGAAAGGACCCCTGCGCGCATGCACTCCCGGCCTGAATCCAATCAAAGACTTCCGCACAGCGCCGCGACATGGCCGATCTGTACACCGATGTTTGTCGATCTCACCGTGGATTCGCGAGCGAGTCCCATTAAAAACGGACCTGTTGTTCAAACAACCGCCTTGTTCCCCCTTTTTGGGAGGCCAGGGTCAACTCTGTCGAAGACAATTCACTGGCAGCTTCCTGCCACTTGCGTTTGCCACCTTCTGCAACCAAATCTCGGTTCAGCATGTCCACTTCTTCCTTGGAGAAGCATAGAAGCGCTGTCGCTAGCTAGCTGTTGCTGCAGATAAGGTTCTCTGACTGGAATCGGGCCAGACACAGTTGGCTGGCACTTGCCGCATGGACAAACCACACCCATGCTGACATGGCACATCTTCTGAATTTGGCCACATGTTCCACTCAAAGGCGTGGCTCGCTGAATGAGCACGTGGGATCCAAACAAACTTTGTGCCAGGCCAGCTTCCTGTTATTTACAGGCCCCCAAACAGGGCTCCTTTGGACGGACGCCGACTTGAGCATCAAGGATGGGAGGCAGTGCTTCGAGCGATGCGTGCCCAACGTGCCATGGGTGGGGTGCCATATGGGCGCGAACTTTAAAGGGTCCCGAATGCTTTGGTTGACATCAGCCTTCGGTGGGGATTATCGGTAAAAAACTGTCACTGGATTATATGAGGCTTGCTCGGCGAATGCCAAAAAGGAAACGCGCCCAAAACCCGCGAGGTACACGTTTTAAAGTACCAAGCCCTCGGGTTTTGGCCCGTTCTCCACGGAATCCCCCGGGTCCTCCCCTGAATCCACACAAATCGGTCGCGCTGGCGCTGGCAAGCGAGTGCCGGTTAGCTGGCAACTTGCAAAAGAAACCAGCTACAGAAACCATCAAGCCTAGTTTGGGCCAAGCTCTCTTGCGGACCTACCTGCGTTTTTTACTCTGTGAGTTCAGGCATCGCTTTGGAAAACAAAATGGGTTCCACTGGCATCAAAATCCAATCAACAATAAACTATTGTTACAAGTTACAAGACAGAAAAGGGAAATCAAAAAACAGTTCGCCCAATTTCTGCCCAAACGGTTTTATTTAAACATCTTTCAGGAACGTCTAAAGGAGCGACTTATTTGTGGGTGCCCTATCTGTCGAAACAATGCAAAGCTCGCCAGAATAATCAACCGAGCTCGACCCAAAGACCTATGCCAAAACTGATCAAACAAACCTATGACTGATCCGAAAAAACTGAGCTAGGTTCGGTTGCACACTTTGGGTTGACTTTGTTCAGGCTAGCTGTTTCGTGGTTGTTGTAAAATCAATATATTGTAAAAAACACTCTTTGACATGCTCCCAAAGAAATAAACTCCATTACGTCAACCCCACAAGAGTTTTGGAGGAGACCCCAAAGGAGGCCTCTTGCCCCCTCAGTCTCCGGCTTCCGCTGCTGCCTGCGCACCTCCACCTGCATCATCTTGCTCTGCCGACTCTGCTCACGTACCTTCCATTGATCCGACCGAGCCGATCCGCGATCCACCCCATATGGGTGTTGCTCCAAATAGGGGTCCCCTCAACTGTTGGGTTGCGTTTTGGCTCCCCTTGAATACCAAAGGAGGAGGAGGGTCCACCATTCTGAAACTACAGGACAATCGGCCCGAAAGCATTTTTCCACAGGTGCTCATCCAGCCGCGGAGACACCTTTTTACATCGCTGCGGCGAGCGTGTCTGCGCGCGGCATGCTCAGTGTGTATGGTCACATGAGAGCTCCATCTCATCATCCTACTTTCCTCTCGAACTGCGCCGCGCGATTTCTCACGAAAGTGGTCTGCGCAAGCTGCATTGTTCCAGGCTGCTGCGCGCAAGTTGCTCTCTGCAAGCTGCTGCACGCAAGTGCTCTGTGCAAGTTGCTCTGCGCAAGCAAGTTGCTCTGCGCAAGTGCTCTGCGCCAGTTGCTCCGCGCAAGCGCTTTGCGCATGTGCTCTCTGCAAATTGGTCTGTGCAAGTTGCTCTGCGCAAGCTGCTCCGTGCAAGCGCTTTGCGCATGTGCTCTGTGCAAGTTGCTCTGCGCAAGTGCTCTGAGCAAGTTGCTCTGCGCAAGCGCTCTGCGCCAGTTGCTCCGTGCAAGCGCTTTGCGCGTGTGCTCTGTGCGAGTTGGTCTGTGCAAGTTGCTCTGCGCAAGTGCTTTGCGCAATTGCTCTGCGCAAGTTGCTCTGCGCAAGTTGCTCTGCGCAAGTGACTCTGCTCTGCGCAAGTGCTGCCGGAGCTGTGGGAATGTACTTCGCGTACTATTTTGGTACTAAAAAGTTGCGATTTTCCAGCCGGAGCTGCGGGGGTGTGCTCCGCGTACTACGTTTGTACTTAAAAGTTGCGATTTTCCAGCCTGAGCTGCGTACTTAAAAGTTGCGATTTTCCAGCCGGAGCTGCAGGAGCACGCTGCGTACTACGTTTGTACTTAAAAGCTGCGATTTTCAAGCCGGAGCTGCCGCGGACCAGGGGGGAGACGAACCCTCAACCGTGGGATTGCGAAAGCAGGCGCGCAAACCACGAGACAACTTCCAAAGGCCGTTTCGCGAGCAAGAAAAAAAGCACGGCGCCACAGCGAGAGCGCTTCGACACGCACAATCTCTGCAGAGGGTTCGCCGAGACTAAGACAAATACGCACGGCGCCACAGCGAGAGCGCTTCGACGTGCACGATCTCCGCAGAGGGTCGCGAGCGGACCGCAGAAATCGTAAAAAGTCCACAGTTTTTGAACCTCGACCAATCTCCGCAGAGGGCCGCGCGCGCACCGCAGAAATCGTAAAAAGTCCACAGTTTTTGAACCTCGATCGACCACGCGAATCTCCGCAGAGGGTCACGCGCGCACCGCAGAAATCGCAAAAAATACTCAGTTTTTTGACCTCGACCACGCAAATCTCCGCAGAGGGTGGCGCGCGCACCGCAGAAATCGTAAAAAGTAGAGGGTCGCGCGCACCGCAGAAATCGTAAAAAGTCCTCAGTGTTTGAACCTCGACCACGCGAATCTCCGCAGAGGGTCGCGCGCGCACCGCAGAAATCGTAAAAAGTCCTCAGCTTTTGAACCTCGACCACGCGAATCTCCGCAGAGGGTCGCAATCCCGAGCGATGATCAAACTCCCGCCCCGGCGCCTTAGAAACCTAAACTAACTTACATAGCTGCTTACGCCGAAGCTCTACGCAAGCTCTACCTAACCTTGGCTCTGTGCCACCTGGCTCTGTGTCACTTGGCTCTGTGCCACTATGTAACTTGGCTCTATGTAACTTGGCTCTATGTAACTTGGCTCTATGTAACTTGGCTCTATGTAACTTGGCTCTATGTAACTTGGCTCTATGTAACTTGGCTCTATGTAACTTGGCTCTATGTAACTTGGCTCTATGTAACTTGGCTCTATGTAACTTGGCTCTATGTAACTTGGCTCTATGTAACTTGTAACTTGGCTCTATGTAACTTGGCTCTATGTAACTTGGCTCTATGTAACTTGGCTCTATGTAACTTGGCTCTATGTAACTTGGCTCTATGTAACTTGGCTCTATGTAACTTGGCTCTATGTAACTTGGCTCTATGTAACTTGGCTCTATGTAACTTGGCTCTATGTAACTTGGCTCTATGTAACTTGGCTCTATGTAACTTGGCTCTATGTAACTTGGCTCTATGTAACTTGGCTCTATGTAACTTGGCTCTGTGCAACTTGGCTCTGTGCAACTTGGCTCTGTGTAACTTGTCCAAGGGCTCCGCACGGAAGAACCCTTCGCGATGCTTTCGGGAAAACACCTATTCAAAGTTGCTACTCTCCGCCCATCCGATTGTCCGAAGAGACCCGTCCATTTTTAAGCCCTTTTTTAGACAACCCATGTTAATGCGGGAGTGAAGGGCACGTGTCAGCTCACAGAACTCGCCCAATCTGGAACGTGTCTGTATTAGATATAAGGAAAACAACCCTCTCGAGGGGTTCACCATTTTGAGACAGGCTCAAATAGGCCTTCGCGTTTGATCGTGGACTCCTGTGTCATGACGTCCGAGACCAGAAGCTCTGCTCGTTTCGGGAGCAATCTCAAAATGCTGACCTGGGTCCATGAAGTGAAATCCCCCAAACAACCCTCCAATGTGTGGTTTAACGGGCCGTCGCAGAACGGTCCCCTCCAAATGACAAACACTTTCATGGGCGGCTTGGCAAACGGAACCCTCACACCAAAACCGCTCAGCCGGCGTCCGTGTGAGCCCGGGGCACATCCTTAAGGGCAGACAGCAGTCGTTGGGAGTCCTCGAGAGACGGCTTGAGGGGGGCTGCCCAGGAAGACCTGCCTCGTAGCTGGATTCAAAACTTTTTTGGTTCCCTTCAACACAGCTCCAAAAGGGATATGCTCAAAAAAATACGCGGCCGTATGTTTTGCTTGATTTGGGCCAAAGAAGAGGTTGCCAAATGCAGAAGGATTTGGAAAAAGGAGCTTACCAAAAAAACAACAACAGGGGAACACGACGATTCCCCTTTCGAGTCAGTCCGTGCAAAAGGCAGTCCCGAAAATGTGTGACACCAGAAACTGATGCAAAACTCCAGCAACGAAATTCAAGAACGCACATACGTATGTGTCTACATTCTCTGTGACGGGCTTGACACAAACAACTCCCCGAAAAGGTGACACCTAGGTTTGTTGATCCGTCAACATTGCCTCGTACTTCGCTCAACACAACGGAGCACTGGCTAATGCCCATTGCGGGTCCATTTTAGGGTGTGTCCCTGTTTTGGGGGATCCCGTTTTTGGATTGCCTGAAAGAGAAACAAAAAGGACAACCAAAGCCATTTTGGGGTCTGCAAAACAGACGCACCCACATGTCCTAAAATACGGAGGGAAACAAAAGGACCCCCTTTGCCACGATCTCCTGTGAAACCGCAAGAAGCAAGCATTGGGTGCAAACCCCGCAAGGGTTCCCCAGACCGCGGGCGCCCCCACGACCCCGCCGACCCCACAACCCCGCTGCTCCTCCCGGACCTGCTGCGCTGCTGTCCGGTTCTCCCGAAACTTCTGGAGCCGCGGG